CATATTGTCGTTGCTACCAATGTTGTTGCTGTTGTTGCTGCTGATGAAATGTGCACACACGGCATGTATCAACAGAACACGTATATTCGTTGTCTGTCGTTTTCTATGTTAATAATCTTTTTTTATTCTGACATATGAATCTACGACAACAACAAAAAAAAATGCAGACACACACACACACAACGAACATGAGAAATTAATTTCCGTTGCAACTAGAAACGCCAAAGCAATATGACTACATACTCAGTAGTATACAATGTACACCTGAGTGTTTATTGTTATTGGTCCATTCTCCTTGTTCTGTTTTCATTATCACTTTTGCATTGAATGCACTTACAGCTTCCGCTTTTTTTCTCGCATTCCCTATCTTCTTTTTTTAGTTTGTGTCCCTATTTGTGTATTATTATTTTTTTTTGGTTTTATTCTCTGGATTTTTCGCTGTGTCGTTATAATGTCACTGGGATGTCAAGTCCATGTCATTTCTATACTTGAGCACGCATATCGTCCTTTACAATATGTTTGCTAAGTGTATGCATGTACAATTACATGAAAAAATGACGTGACTACAACAATGACATCGACCAAACGAAAAAGGAACATATTCCACTAATTGTGGTTAGCTTGTTTTCGAACCCAATTTTCGCTTAATACAAGACACATCTTTTACACTCTCAAATCTTTTCTTTTGCTTTCTCCCTTATCCTTTGCTTCATTTACTACACTTTTTGCTTGCTATATCTTTCAGCTTATCGCTTGTGCCACGAGAGTATACAGCGTACAATGCGTTCACCACATCTACCCCAATAGCTATCTATCCAGAAAGAACGATCTTTCCTTTTTTGTAAAAAAAACACATACCACATCGTATGTGTATGAGTTGTGTTTGTATAACTTAAATAGGTACGGATACACTTTTCATTTTATTTATTTTATTTTCATGTTTATTTTTAGCACTTTTTCTTCAACACTTACATACGGGCTTGTTTCTTTTTAATATAAAAAAACACGAAAAATAATACAACAAAAAAACGTATTCATACGACGATGCATGAATGCACTCATTTTATATTTTATGTGCACCGTTCACTTGCAGGCCATGCCACTGTGTATTATACTAAACAATCTTTTGGTGTTATCAACTTCGTATTGGTTCGTAATTTTTCTCTTCTTTGATGCTATTGTTCTATTGTCGTTTCCGTAAATGTGCACATTGTTCTTTATGCGCTTCAGACTATATTCACTATATGAATCAATATGACGTATAGCCACTGAAGCGAACGGAATAGCATACGACGGACGGCCAACGAACGTTGATACCATAACAAAAATGAATATAATCAATTCGTTGAATTTATCCAGTCTGAATCCTAAGATTAAGTCAGATTTTCGATTCAAGCATATTTACGCGTTTAATTTATCGGAGAATAGCTGAGATTATTGCATCAAAGTATTTCATAATTGTCATTGATTTTATATTAGAACGAAAAAGAAAACTTGGACGCAGATTTACTATTTGACTGTCACATAAAATGAGTGAACATATCGTATGAAATCGGCGATTGTCATGCGTTCACTAATAGAGACTGTCGGTGTTCAAAAATCTCGTTGGATCTAATATAAAATCAGTGACCATGGGGCGATTCGTGCTAATATTCTTTTGTTTTGCTTTCGTCAAGTAAGTCACATTTGTTGTTTCGAAAAAGTAACAACTGCATTACTGTAATTCAAAAAAATATCCATTCGTCAGTGTCAAGCATTTTGAAATTTTTCATACCAAAAAAGATTATTTAAACCTTGTGCTACAAGTAAAAAAAAAAAAAACAATTTTCTGAGCTATTCTTGTATAATATTTTATAAAATAAATATATCTCAAATAGAAAATCAGTATGAAATTGTAAGAAATCTCTGTAAAACTTTAGTTTCTGTTGATTGTAACACCAAATGATATCGATTTATAAAGTTTTTCACGAAGCGGGAATTCTTTTTACCAACTTGAAATCGATGTTTTTTGTTCAAAAAAAAAAAAAAAAGACGAAAAGAGAAGTAATTCTTCGCACATTTCACTAAAGAATTCACTTGGAAATTGAATTTTCAAGAAAAATTCTTCTTCACGCGTGAATTATTTCACAAAGAAAATTTATTCATCCACATAGTTTGTCTTATAGTTTTTTTTTTATGAGAAGTGAAAAAAAAACAACATGCGCAGATTGTAAAATATGGAACACAAAAATAATTTGGATGATTCAACAACGTTAATTAGTTGCTGTTTCTTTTTGTATTAAATTTGTGTAATGTACATTGTACACTCTGAGAAAACTCAGATGTTAAAATTCAAAGTAATAAGAGAAAAATGCCATTTTAACATGGAGAGGTTTTTAAACATGGTAAAATCTTATTTTACCCGCAACACATTTCTTTGTGGGTAAAACCGCATTTTAACATGTGAAAAAATCTCTCCATGTTAAAATGACGACAAAATGCCATTTTAACATGGAGAGATTTTTGAACATGGTAAAATCTCATTTTACCCGCAACACATTTCTTTGCGGGTAAAACGGCATTTTAACATGTGACAAAATTTCTCCATGTTAAAATGGCATTTTTCTCTTATTACTTTGAATTTTAACATCTGAGTTTTCTCAGAGCACACGAAAAAAGCAAATATACAACGATAAACATGTCATATGCTCAATGATAAATTTTTCGAATGCTCATCAACAAAGCAAATATAGAAAAAAGGTCGAATTGAACCATGCACACACATGTGCAGAAAGCGAAACGGCATGGGTTATTTCATATGCATAGAAAAAATTGAATATATTTACTTATTGCTTATCTTCTCTTTATCGTCAATCTTGATTTCCAGCAAAAAAAAATCGAATGACATTGTTATTCATTCAAATTCAAAAAAGTACGTGGAATTCCCCTTCCGTACACCCCTTTCTTTGATACCTTTGACACAGCGAAAGAAATGCCAGCGCATTTTCGTTACAGTTTTGTTTCCATCAAAATGGAAATGACACACAACAAAATGCATGATTTTTCCGTGTGTGTGGGGGGGGGGATAAGAGGAAATACGTTATCGTTGTTGTTATTATTATTGTTATTTGTGCCCCGCAATAAGGACGATGTCAAAAATGATGGGAATTACATTTTTTTACATAGGCAAAAACCGTTTAACTTTAATTTATTTTTCGTTTTCTTCTCTTTGAAATTCAACGAACGACGAAATAAAAAGCAGGCAGTCACACGAGGAGTACAATTTCGAAACGACTGTATGTTTGGTTATACGCAGAAAATTCAACGCCGAACTTGGTTTGTTTATCCTTTGTTCATCTCGTTAAATATTTAAATCATATACGTGTGAAAATGAAGTATTATTTTTTACCGAGAAATGAAATGGCTCTTGTTTGTAAATTTTCCGGGAAAATTCGTCTTTGAATACATCGATCAATCATTTTACGAAACAATTTTAATATGAAATGATAGGCTATCTTCCATACTTGTTGTCACATTAGATTTGGTGTAATTCGCTTTGCTGTCATTGTACATTGGTGGAATCAGAACGGTTTTTTTCGTTTTTAATCCAATCTAAATAATTTGTGTTATTTCATGTGCATGTGTGCTTTTTTACATTGAACGCGAATGTCTTTTATTCTGATTGATTTATGCTGTTTTACGGATTGTAGGTGACACATGGTTAATAATTGTATTCGATGAACTTCGTTTATATTGTTGGATTTCATTTTAAGTGACATATTGTGCTGAAGATTCATATATTGGAATAGCTGACATTATTTTTCAACTTTTTTTTTCATGATTTATTTGAGAATTTATATTCCAGTTCAAGTTGAGCGTCCAACAACAGTCCAATTTTTTTCATACTTTTTTCTCTGACGAGTGCAAAATATTTGGTCGGTGCTTTTATTTATTCATAGTTTATGCTGTGCGTACTGTATTCGAACCAAACGCAGTGTCGAGGACACTAGATTTGATAGAACTCCTTTAAATGTGTTATTTGCAGTGATGTGTAAAGATACTATCTAAAGTTTAGATAACAGATAAGATATTTTAAAAGTTTTAAAATTCTATCTAGATAAGATAAAAGATCTCGTTATCTTTATCTTATCTTGCAGTATCTTCTGGTTTTTTCATACAAAAATAGCGAAAATTACGTTTAGATAAGATAAGATATTTTGGTAAAGTATCTGGAAAAATTCAGATAATTTTCAAAAGTATCTTAAAAACCTCAGATAAAGTATCTTTGCCCATCACTGGTTATTTGGTAATATTGTGTATAATATGTCATCATTTGTGATATTCTATGTCGGTGTCCTCTGCGAAATTTGAAATATATGAATTGTTTTTATGCTGAATTTTCTACTTACATTTCATAAATTCATCCCGGATATACAATTTTTTCTTCTTCGACTTGAAATATCTAATTTACTTGACTATAAGCTCATAATAGCACATAAAACGAATTTTCCACACATTCCTTTCGTAAATACTTCGCTAAGATCTAATAATATCTAATCCTAATAAACTACGTAATCAGCTTACTGAAGATGTGGCTATATGTTTAAAGTAATTCGATCCAAAAACAAGACCAATAAATATGAATATTTGATATAGATTCAAATCGACAATTCGGAATTAAAATCGAATGCTATGACACGAACAAAAGCAAACTTGCAGAAAATAGTAAAAATAGGCTCAATGAATTTGACGATGATTATTATAAATGTGTGTGTGATACAGCAAAAGATGGCATTAATTATTTGAAAAACATAAAAAAGACTACTTAAAATCGAAATGGATTTATTTTTTTGGTGAAATGTGTAAACAATCGTGGCCACAGAGTAACATGATAAGAAAAATGTATTTAGCATGCAATACTCAACACACATTTTTTGGCTCTAAGAAGACGATAACACATTTTATGCAAAATAATAATATTAATGATAATGATGATAACGATGCATATAAATCAAACTTACCTCGACCGACGTGTTGATGGGTCTTTCATGACCATAACTTCTGTTATTTCACCAAATTTACTAAAGTAATCCCGTAAGCTTTCTACAAAAAAGAGAGAGAAACAAAAACAAAAAGCAAAAATGTTATTCGAGTATTTCAAACAGAATACAGAAAATGGATTTCGATGGTGTTTTTGGTGTTGCATTCATATACACGCATACACGCCATACGAATTGTATAAACAAAAATGTACGAAAACGAGAAGAAAAAAAATTCCAGCACGAAACAAAAAATATAAGAATTAATGTTTTATTTTATTGCTGTGAGATGATGTCGCTATGCGCATCCCAAATTCATTGCCCAATTATGACACTTTAAAGATCATAATGCATACAAAAGTACATGGAAAAGTATCACATTCGGCACAAATTATTTTATATTCGTCGCTTTTAGACGGTATTCGTCGAGTCTTTCGCCCGTAAACTTGTGCTTTTATTTACCGTGATAAAATAACAAAAAATACATTGAAGAGAACGGTAGGCCGGGGTGTAAATCATACAAGATTAGGCTATCATTCCCTTTTGTATTTAAAATAAATTTTCTCTCAAATCATTTGAAATGGTAAATTCCAACATTTTATGTGCACGTTATTCAAATCAATTCTCTCACGCACACAAAACCACCCCAAAAAAAAACTAATCCAAAAAGCGTTTAATCAACTAAACTTTTTGGTTTGTCAGTTGATTAAATTCTCACCTATGCAAATATGTAGACAAATAAGATAAAAGCACAAAAGAAAACAACAACAAACGAATTCATATAAAAATGATAAAAAAGAAACTTTCATATTCCAAAACGTATATTTGTATAAAATGTATTTGCATTTTGTGAAAACATTGAAAACTTTCATTTCAACAAATTTATAGTTATGATATCATGATATAAAACTGCATCTCGCATGAAAATGGAATCGCAAGAGAGTGTGTGGGTCATGCAAAAGAACGACGACGAAAAAAAAAACGAACGGAAAATGATGACGACGATGATGAAAAAAATTGGCGTGTCTTTCATCGCGGAAATCACGCATTTCGCATAAATCATCGTTAAGTCAAATCGTCTGTAAATCGTCTTCCATAGATCATTTCAAGCATCAACTGCAAGTCAATAAATAAAAAATTTAAAGGTATTTACGAATGTGAATTGCTTGGCTCTTTTGTTCTGTTGGTTCTATTGGAGCCGCGATGCCGTGGCAATGCTTTTACATTGAAATGTCAGCCAACAACATATACACATACACAACGGTGAACATACACAAAATCATGCATATACATTGCAGATAGAGAAAAAGAGTACGAGGATGAGAACGACACATACGCTCGTCTTGTTTTGCTCACCCAGCAGCTTTCTATTTTATTTAAAAGTTGTGATTCTTCCTCTTCAGAGCTGCCAGATTGTATACGGTATGAATGTGTGTTGAAGGGAGAGAAAGACCTCGTTCACTTGCTACATCATTTTTACATAAATAAATTGGCTGCGTTTTGTAATCATAATTTATTTCTTTGCTTGGCATTCGTCGTTTCTCTTGTTTTGCGTATGATGCCATACCGATTCGGTTGTGTGTGTGTGTGTGTGTGTACAAAGAAGAGACGCGAAAGTGCCCTCAATGAAAAAAACTGCTTTATACATATATATTCTATGCCATAACTTGAGTTGCAGCACAGTACATCAATCCCGAGTTGTGCGAGGAGCCAGCACTCTTGCAACAATTCACATTTGACGAAGTTTCAAGAGAGAGAGAAAAAAGTTGATTGTGTAGGGTAATCAATTCTGTAACGTATTTTTACGGGACGTTTACCTAGTGAATTAGTTAAAACTCAGGCGAATGCTTGTGATGTGTGTGTATATGTTTGGATGCAAGGGTACGAAAACTTTGAAAAGTTAGAGTAACGATGCAAGAATAAAAAATGAATAATAAAAATAAAAAAAAAGTGTGAGCCTTTTTCCCTTTTCTACCGGTGAAAATGATGATGGGAACAATGGCATTGAACAAATCGGCTATTTGCTCTATCTAAACTTACTTCTCTTTTACTTATGGCAATTACGATGGTATTTTTTCCATAATTTATACAACCACTTGGTGAAATGTCACTTAGGTTGATGTTTTTTTTCGCTTCTTATATGTTTACATGTAAAAGAATTTTCAAAATTCTTTTCTCTTTTTTTACCTTTTTATATGAATATAAAAATTATGTGGTGATTCAGAGTTTTTATTTACGTCATCGTTGTTATTGTTGTTGCTTATTTTGCCGTTTTTTTTTATTCTTTCGACGGTAAATTTACGAGGAAAAATATGAACGTATTGTATTATTACTGTTGACAAAAGCGTTGAAATGTGTGCTTTGTTAATTGCATTTGTGAGTTGCAAAAGTAATAGCAATCTCTTTCAACTTCGTTCGCTATAAGTTGGTTCGGCTTTGCTCTGGTAGAGATTTTGCAAGCACAACCAACATAAAGCGACACAATGCTCATATTTCATTTAGTGGAAGCAGAAAGAATGGAGGAAAAAAGATAGTAGGTTGCAGGTTATCTTCTGTGGACGACAGATCATGCATATGGTGTTGCAAAAGTAATTGGGGTTTTATCACACATATATACGCACGCGAGAACGCTTTACGACAACCCATTTCTAATTTAAACTTTTTTTTCTCTCTCTCATCATGCTTGATGCATATTTCCGCCAAAATATCAACTTTGGTCTATACATATCTATTCCCGTCAGTCCTTGTCGAGCCACTCGTTGCTCACTCTCGTTAATAATGATGAAAATTAACATTTTATTTATGTTCGTTAGTCGAAAATGAAGCAGCTGCTTAACAGTTTTGCCATTTGAATCATACGTACAGAAGAAAAAAAATTTGAAGAAGAATTCGATTTTTTTTACTCTTTTTTTCTCACGTGCAATTTATGTGAAACGTGTGTTTCTGCATGGATGTAAGGGACGTGCACTGTGTTTATACAATTCATTCATCGACTTGGTGTTGAAAAGCTCCTTTTATACTGATTGTTTATTATTACTATTGCCGGAGTGCATGTATATATAAACACATATAAAAAAAAGAATATATATTGGTTGTTGTGTGGTAAAATGCTGTGAGTGTATGTAAAAGTTTCGTTATTCAATGTAATCCCGTCAAATTCCAGGATATATAGTGATATTGAATGGGAAATCTTCAACGTAATATGCGAACGAAGAGAAATGCAGTTTTATGTTATTCGTGGTTTCTATTTCATAATAATATGCTTATTATTTGCGTACCCGCTCTCGTTCGTTCTTTTTTCTTCCTTTTTTTCTTCGTTCGTTCAATTCGCTTGTTGGATTCTCGTGCGCGGATGTCTCTATATTTTATCTTTTGGTTTCACTGAAAATATATGATGTTCTTGGCATATTCCGCTTTTAGCAAAATCTCACCTACTTACTCGAAGAATCCAGTTGATTTTATATATGTTTTTTTTCTTTTGCCTTAACCTGATCTAGGGTTTAACACTACCACAAATTTTCGCAACCGATTTACACCCGATAATCAACCCAAACTTATTTTGCCATTCCCAAAGCATATAATATTTGAGATTTTTTCGTTCGTTTCTTTTCAACCATAATTTTTTTTTTATATGAAGTTTAGTGTCTTTTTTAATTTCACTCGTTGATGATTTTACCACCGATTTCGTATGCAGTCATAAAATGTTGCCTGAAACCAAAAACGGAAAACCTTTAAATTCATTGGATTGTAGGTCTAATCGAAAATTTAAGCAAACGCATTTTTGCGGCTCAAGTCGATGTTAACCGTTGATACTGTGGTAGAGATACTGAACTATAAAAGCCCACGATACGATGAAGGTATTGTGTGTGTTGATGGTCAAATGGTCGCGATAATGTGAAAATGCCGGTGTCATTATTGTGTGTCCTATGGTGATTTGTTGTTGTTATCAGAAGGTGTGATAAGCTTGTAGCATTAGCGGCATTCGCGGAGAAGCAGTGTCTGATTTGCGTTGATTTTTACGTGAAAACGATGGCATTATATGTAAAGTGAAGTGTAAAATCTTCATTCGTCTGCACACCAACCGATTTTCTCATTCGCTTTTCATTTTTTTTACTATAGGTAAATGTCACTAGCTCCCCACAATCTGAAATTTGAAAAACCATTGCCGGATATTGAATTTGTAGGAAGATGGTACCGATAAAAAATTAGTGATGGCTTCACAAATTCGTCTCTTGCAAACACTCTGCTCCCTAGGTTCGATAGCCGACAATGGTTTTTCAATTGAAGAATGGCAGGAGCTAGTGACACTCACCATTTTTTTTTCTTCTCACACCATCTTTAAAATGCTATACATATCTATATATGGATTTTTTCTTTAGTTGATAAATGCGAAAGGAATTACGCAAAACTGGTTTGCTCCATTGCCATCGCATCTCGCTTTCAGATTTCAAAATTCTTCTTTTATTGCAATTCAAGTGTTTGTTGCGCGTGATGCGTTCTGTTGAGGTGCAAACAAACGTTCAAAATACTCTCTCATCGCATTTACTCATACGCTCATTCACAATTCTTTTCTTTTTTTTTTTCGAGAAATAAAACTCGTGCAACTCTTTAATATCAACTTTTGGATTTTTAATCGAATGCGATGAAAAAAACGTTCCCGACAAAAAATGGTTTATGGCAACAGGGAGGAATTATCGGATGGAAAAATGCAATATATTACAATTCACCATCTTTTGCGTTGAAAATATAATACGAACATGTTATTCGATTCGCCTTTCATTCAGCTATTCGGTTTTTTTTTACATCGTGCAAAAAATGCGAAGCACAAAAAAAAAGTGAAGAAAAAGTAGAAATGGAAGTGGTATCAGCAAAACGAATGATGAAAAAAAAGCTCAAGCATGAATGGGAAAACGAGTTTAAGTGCAATAACAATTAGAATATAATATGCGCTATATCGATATATTAGCATTGCTAACTCCAGACGTTAAAGAGACGAGAGAATGTTGAAGTCGCGATTTATGTTCGAATCCAAATTTCACTTTATTTTACTTTGCAGCAGCAGCA